TTTTTTTTTTTTTTTTTTTTTTTTTGTAAACAATTAATTTAGGTTAATGCTTTTGGTTTGATTCTATTGAAATTTAACTATTTATATTTTTTTAGTAAAGTTCAAAATTGGGTTCTGATATTGTGTATTTGCATTCTTCTTCTAATATATTCATTTTAGAAAAGAACCTTCACATTGTGTCTTCATTCAAATAGAACTAAATTGAAATCAAAGGGATATAAATAATATTTTAGCCATGGATTCAAATTTCAATTAAAGTATGCTTGTGATGCAAATACTTTGATCTCAATTAAAACAAGAAATCAACCATAACAATTCAAGCATCCTATTTGATAAATTCATTAAATAAATATGCAAACTTAATATTCTACCAACCAAAATAAAATAAATATTATTATTTGGTTGTAATGGTTGTGCTAATTCTTTGAAGGTTTTTGTGAATTTTAAGGCATGATCAAATATCAAAGAAGTGGAATTCCATCGAGGTGTCACATCTTAACAAACAAGTGCTTTACATTAATTTTGTTTTGTTTAACACAATCTTTAAATTTTGTCAATATCTTGGAAGATGATCTAACATAACTCAAGTCATTCATTCACAATCAAGACAATCAAGTTAATTGTGTTGGCACAACACTGTGTAATATTTTTTCATCTAAGACAAGTGAATTTCAACTTCTAAATTTCTCATAATATACGAAATAGGTATATTATTGGAACTTGTATTATTAACTGAAATAGTGAAAACCTTATGATCCCTCGTTCCAATAAACAATTTTCAATAATTTTGTCAATGATCTCTTCCTTGGAGTTAGCAACTTGGCAAAAGTTAAGAATTCTTTTATGAAATTTCATTCTGAATCAATAAAGTGTGCAGGGATTACATGTAGTTAATGCTTTGCAATGAAGTTCATGCATCAGTGTTGAGACAAAACCTATTAGAATGACTACCCTTGTGGTTAACAACTTGGCAAAAGTTGAGAATTATTTTATGAAATTTCATTCTAAATCAATAAAGTATGAAGTGATTACCATATAGTTAATGTTTTGCAATGAAGTTCATGCATCGATGGTGAGACAAACCTTATTAGAATGATGGACTAAAAAATCTTTTAACTTCTTTTTTTTCTTCGAAATAAAGTTGAATTTTATTTCTAGTCATGGTTACTCGTTTACAAAAGATCAAACTTAGCCATGGTTACTCTTTAATAGAAGATCTGATCAAACTTAGGACATGCCGTACTAAAACAATTCGAAACTCTCATTCTTACAAATTTAAATGACCACTCGTCCAAGTGGCTCTACTTTGACTAAATAATAAAGTAACAAACACTCACCAACCACTAAATAAATAAAAGGAAGGCACGCTTCACTCCTTTTCTTTTACTCCAAATGAGGTTAAAAAAAACTTAATTCATGGAACATTTTGGGCTTATTTTCTATAATTTTCCAAACATAATAAAACAGCCCTATTTACCCATAGACAACCATGCAAAGCCGAAGGAACCATACTACATTTGCCCATATACAAACATGCAAAGCCAAAGGTACTATATTACAGGCAATCATCTATTTAGTGAGAATATGTGGTACAAAAGACATAATCATTGGCAATTGTTTGACCTAAGAATTGCGAATTTTTCCCTTGACAACAATTAAATGATATCAAACTACGACTGACATTTTGAATGATAAACCAACTTGTGTACGCGGAAAAACTTGTTATAAAGCATGAAGCTGAGCCAGCCATGGAAGGAGCTTTTCATGCACTAATTCAGGCCTGTCATCATGAGGGCAATGTCCTACCCCTTTCAACACACAAAGACTGACATTTGGAGATTCCACAGATAACTTGGAGAAGTACTTCCCAACAGGACCATCAAGTGGCGTGAATGGATCTTCATCTCCCCATAAAATCAAAACAGGCACGGAAATTTTTGGCATTAGTTGCACCGGGCTGGGCCCTGGTGGCCCCGTTACGATCGAAACAAATGCATCAAGTGCCCCTTCGTCATTGGCTGGTTCGAATATTATCTATATTTATCAGTTCAAACAAGATTAGAATAACATTACTCAGAGGAAGAAGAGAGGTAAGTTGGGAAGAAAGAAAGCCTACATCTATCAGATCTTCATCCACATTTTCCTTGTTTCCATATACGGACGACAAAATGTCCCTCAAGCTATCTCTGCAGAGAAAAATTATACCTTCTCTAATTTTATCCTCCATTTAGCAACATGAAAAGGAAGAGTTGACTATAAGTAAACCAATACCTCTTCTTCACACGCTCAAACAGAGCTGAAGCAATTCTCCTTTGGTTCAATAAGAAATCGACCAGCCAAAGCAAAGGTAATAACAGTTTGATCCTCCAATCGTCAACAATTGCTTTATTGTTCATGCCACCAGCACAGTTTAAGAGCACAAGTCCTCGAACTAGATTGCGACTAGAATCTGATCTCATAGGAAAACATATCTATATCACCTTGACAAATTGAGATTACTTTCTAAAGACATGTATTTTGTAAATGTTGGCTTCACACACCTGAAGCAGCAATCACACAAGCAAGGCTTCCCACTGAGTTACCCACTAGCACAGTTGGCCTCTTAATGATGTCTTTCACAAAATCCAATATCAACTGTCAGCAATGAGAAAGGGGCAACATTAGCGAGTTCCCGTTGATCAATAACTGGTCATTAACTAATACAACTAAATACCAAATTGAAGCTTCCATTTAAACATACATCAGCCCATGTTTCCATGGTATATGCAAAGCCTGCAGGCTTATCAGATGCACCAAAGCCAAGAAGGTCGATGGCATAGACAGTTGAGTATTGAGACAATGCGCTAATATTCCTGAAGAAATCTCCAAATAAAACATCAGGACCTGGGGACATGCATGTCAAGAACAACAAATCTCTGAATAAAGGCATGCTGACTGTTTGATGTATGAGCCAGAAGATCACTGGACTTCTCTGTGAATAAAGCGATCCAATGACAATCCACTACACGGACGAAAGGTTTTCACTCGTATAGCACAACAAATCGCCAGAGTTTATTGGACTATGGGTAGAGTAAGAACAAAATCTTAAGGAAAAAAAATAACTCCAGAAATTATTTAAAAAAAAAAAAAAAGTGAGAATGTGTAAAGAAAACTTTTAAATAAATTAAGAGAGAAAAAGAAAAGACCATACAAAGATTTGGAATCTGAAAGTAGTGCTAACTATAATTTAATGATACTAAGTATTAGTTAATCAATGATTCACAATCCAACAATCAAAATTTAAATTAATTATGTAACATTACCAATAACTAATTTAGTCAATTTAGTCAGAAATGGTTACCCACGTTCTTGTTTCAGTTCAACAATCCATGGGTTACCAAGAGAAAACATATAGAATGTACAACATTCCATCTGCTGGCTTCCTTTTATCTCTTTCTCTAGACCCAATTCACAAGTTTCTCTTTTCTTCATTTTTTTATTTGTTCTATAAGGTTTCATTTATGTTGGATGGTGTTTCTCTCGAAAATATGGAGTTATGTAGTTGTATCTTGGGCAAGAAGTTCTTCCCTTTCCTTCTTCTGAACAATTCTTTCAAACAATGAGTTTTCAAGATAGAAGCTTAGTCTGGAAGCCGTTTCTTCTTCATCTTTATTCATCTTAGATAACTCTTTTGGCTTGAAAAACTTGAGTTGACTTCATGCACTATCTGCTAAATGCTCGCTTCTTCATGCCAAATATGATTTTGGGATTAGCATGTTAGTATAAAAAAAAAAAAAGAAACGAATCTTTTTGGTCAGGTTCTTGAATGCATCTCCATCAATACTTTGGGCAATGCACATGAGGAATGTTGTACTGGTTCCTGTTGGTATTAGTAAAGGATCTCCCACACAGCCCACAACTAAACGGAAGACCACCCCCCTTGGCCCCACTACTTTAGACATAAAAGAAAGGAGAAAAAAGCGAAGACTTGGTCTCCAAACAAGACAAAAATCAGGTGAGACATGGCAGTTTCAGAAAAAGGATATGAGAGGCGTTAACAAACACAAGAGACATTGCGGTGGGGGCAAAACCCAACTAACCCCACCAAAGGGCATGCCTAGAGGGAATGATGAAGAATACAACATGTCACCAGAACAAGATAACCCCCTCCCTCCACCCAATCTCATCATGGAAGGATAAAGAACAAAAGGACAACGTACCTGGTTCGCCATCCCAACAGAATTTATCTTGATAAATGAATGATATAGACCCTCAGTGGTTGGACACTCCAATTGCACCTCTACGATCAAAGAAGGGAACGCAACCACCATAGATGGAGGACCAAAAGTACCCAACACCGGCTGTTTAAAAGAAACATTGACTATTCTTAAAGGCTTATTCGAACAACGAACTTCCAGCAACTAGCCACAACAACCTCACTCAGACTACTGTCCGAGCAACAAATTTAAAAAGCCTAACTCTCCTCATTGAACAAAGGCTCCAAATTCAACATCCAAATTCTTTGTCGCCAAGACTCATTTTCTGAGTAATTAACGATTGAAGGATTGGACCCCAGATCCTCCTCGCCTAGAAACAAAAATGAAGGATTGAATTCCCATTCTGATCTAGTTCAAAGAATCTGTCAGCTTCTGGAACACAATCACCACCAACAACCTGTTCTTGACTCATCTGCCAACCCAAAAATTAGACCACTTGGTCCATTAGGGACAAACCCCTTAATCACTTTTTTCTTTTCTTTTATTGATGTACAAACGGTCCCCTTCAGAATGATTAAATTGGGTGCCACTACTTAAAGCAATCCTTTAATGTTGAGTGCCAGATATGTGAGAAATATATAACATCTATTTAATGTTTAAAAGTAAATAAGTTGGAGAGAAAAAATATGAACCTGCGCCAATGAGGAATAGAAGCTCCAAATCCATGAACTAAAAGGACGACAGGAGGATCTACACTTGATTGATGTTCCTGTTGAGAAGGTTGATAATGTGAAACGAAATAGTTTATGGAGTACTGGTTCCATTGCCACTTGTTGGATCTCTCCCGTATTTCTTGCACCTCCAGAGCAGCCCCAATGCCCACATATGCAGAGGACGTTGCAGAAATCACTGCTGCACTAGCAGATGGATTCTTACTGAGACCAAAAAACCTACCAGCTCTGTTGCTGTATCTGACAAAACGGTTCCTCTTTTTCTGAATTATTTGCTGCAAATTCACATGCACCTGCAACCAAACGAAGCCTGAATGTGGTCCCGTTACTCTTATCCCCATTTATATGAACAAATTTTATCTGTGCCGCTTGCTACTCGCTAGTTTATTTGTTCATTTATTGTTATTGTTATTATTCAGAGGACAATGGCTGTGGGGAGGTTTAGATATGAGAGTTATTAAAAATAACCTTATTTAGAATAGATAAAGATTTTTTACCCAATCCTTAAAAAATAAAAAAAAACTGAAATTCTGCTGTCATCTACAAGTAAAATGACTTTTAACCCTTAAAAGTTGAAAAGTAACATACTTTTCTCAATCCCAAAGGAAAACCTTATATCCTCCGACTTGAAAAAGAAGAGAACTAGGATTTTGCATGTGTCATTGAGGGTGAAAATTACATTTTAATTCTCCTCTTCAAACTCTATTGTTACCATCATGTTGGATTTTCTTCTTCTCCATCTCTCACACATCTATGCAAAAAAATCCATGATATCACTTGTGAGAGGAAAAACCATTGCTGAAGACGGATTGAAACTTGAAAAAAAAAATTGAAAGTATTGCAGAAGACAGAGTTTGCGAGAGAGATGAATAACATTCAGTGGATTGTAAACTGAAACTCTGGCCGATACATGTGCGGAAAGTCGGGTCGTTACATAGAGATCATTTAGGAGTGTGAGTTTCTTTGCATTATTGGTATGGATAAATTTTTGTAATTATCTTGAATAGTTGGATTGAACGTAATGTAACTCCTAATTCTATGATTATGAGTTAAGTTCATTATTTCAAGATTGCCTCAAATATACTAGAAGATATTATGATGAAGTCTCTACCAAATGTTTCCGAGTTTGCATATCAGGTAATAGTCCACCTAAAAGCCCGTTCAGCTGAAGGGGATGATGTAATGAACACTTCTTTTGTACTATTTTTCCTTTCACTGTTGTCTAGTATAATATTTCCCTTTCTTTAATGTGTTTTCTCACCCAGCTCCAATATGCTGACCACTGACCCGTTCTCCCCCCCCTCTCTGCCTCTCATTCTCTCTAAGTAGCCTAATTTCTTCAACTATTCGGTAACGGGATAGCACACTTAGCAGGAGAGACCAAAGAACGAACACAAAAGGGAATAAGAACAGTTCATTAAGCGTAAGAATCTACAAAATTCATGAAAGACATGGACAATGTACTCACCTGAGCGCGTCGAACAGATTCCGGGGAAGCAGGTGAAGTATCGAGAACTCCAAAACTCGACTGAGAGAGGGAAACTCCGGCGGGGAAGTTGGAAGGTTGTTTAAAGAGGGGCCTGTGGATTACAAGGGAGGTGGAGGTGGAGCTTGAATGAGCGTGAGAAGCATCGATGGAGCCAAACTGAGAGAGAAAGGAATGAGCGGAGGCGGTTCCCAGCGTTGCAGCAAACATTGGAATGTTGAGAGTTGAGAATCGGCGTGGAGCGGAGGGGATGGCGATTAGGCGTGCATTCAGATTGGATTTCACAGAGATCTGCCGCAAACCAACTGGGATCGATCATTTTTTGGGTGACCGAAACACTTACACGTATTTTTTCTTTTCTTTTCTTTTCTTTTCTTTTCATCGCTTCGTTTCCATTCTCGTTCACATGAACTTTTTTTTTTTCTTATTTAATATTAATATGTATTTTAGGAGGGAGATGTATCAGCCCTAGCCGGTTACATATGGGACCTCACAATGTAACAGATCAGTATCAGCAACTTTAGTTTCTCACGTATCGTCGTTCCGCCTCACGATTTTAAAATCAGTCATATAAGGAATGTCGTCACGGTTTTAAAACCACTGTCTTATAAGGAATATTTCATTCCTTCACCAACCGATATGGGAGCCACTTTAGTCGTTCCCCTCTCCGATCGATGTGAGAGCCCAACTTTAGCCCATTACATAAGTCATTTAAAGTGTCATAATCATTATTACCACATAAATCCATACATAAGTCAATTTAAATGTCATAATTAGGTGTTAGACAAGGTTTCATGCCATTTGGAGTTCATCGTAATCATAACATCCTTTAAATGGTTTATTAGGACAATTTTGTCATTTTCCCCCATAACTTTGGTTTATGTTTTTACGGTGCATTTTCATTCATAACTTTACTAATTGGTCTCACGTAAATTTTAAGTCATTTTGGGGTTCATTTAGACCATAAAACATCAAAAGGAGACATCTTGGTCATTTTACCTTGATATTGGTCTATGACTTAAACATGTTCCTATGTCCTTCAAATTCAACCGGTATCATTATCGTTATTCCATGATATTATGCCATAATTCAATTTTTCGTGTATAATGGATGTCATTAGGTGGGACATTTTCTTAAATTACTCGGTATTGGTCTTAATTGGTCATTTAAGTAGGTCTTAATCCCAAGTAAAACGTTCATTTAGGTCATTTAAGTATGATTCCAGGCCTAATCTCTTAATTTTCTATTAATCATGGGCGACCATAACAATTTCAAGGAGTTCCTACAAGTAATTATTGAGAAAAAAAAAATTAAATTGGGTATGTACATGTTCGAGTGCATTCGAGGGCTCGATTCAAGTTCTTTCCAAGGTCAAATTTCTTCAATTTTCCTTGGCTAGGTTCTTTATGAGTCGGTTTCAAAAATCATTAGTATTTTTTTATAAGAACTAGCAATTAAGAGGGTTAAATTTAACAAAAATGAAGATTGCGTCCGTTGAAACTTAGGGTTTAGGGTTTGAGCACCACACACAATGTCTCGTTCTTGGGCGCTATTTGTCCACATGATATCATGAGCACAAGCCATCATGAGATCGACATTTCCATTCCGCTATTTACTAGAAAACTAAAATATTTTCAATTTGAAGGTTGATTCGGACACAAATTTATATAACCTTATTTTGAAAATGTAAAATTGATTTAAAATGTGACTAAGAATTCAAATATTTACTCCTTTCTGAGGTTTATTGTCTCTCAATACATTTCAATCTTTGGGAGTTGCGGCCGATTTCTAACTATTTATGTACTAATTTCCGTCATCAGGGTGTTTCTCGCTCAAATTCTGCGATTCTTTCATTTTGATCGAAAACCCACACAGAAGCTGCAACATGAATAATCGGGAGTCCATAGCATATCTCTCGTAGCAGGAAGCCATGATTTTCCGCATCAGTGACTTCAAGCCACAACTTGTTCGTAACCATGATTAAAAACGACCCAATTTTGAAAACCACATTATCGTTGTGAAAAAAGAAACCCAATAGGAGAAATTCGTTTTGTGAATTGCGAAAATGGCAACCACAAATATGCTCTGGAAATCCGCTAAGATTCTTAGTATTCCTGTTCCAATAGCAAGCAACGGTAGATGGGGAAGGATTGGCTGTACATTTCGAATTCACCAATTCGAGGGCTCTTTCTTCTCCAACTCACTGCGTTCCAATTGCAGCTCTAGCAGTGCAATTTCAGTATGGAAAGGAAAAGAGTATTTGATTTTGTCCGACGAAGAGCTGATGAGACAGTGCGAAATGGACACGTTTAAGGCCTCAGGTCCCGGTGGTCAGCACCGCAACAAGCGCGAGTCCGCTGTCCGTTTGAAGCACATTCCCACTGGTATCACTGCTCAGGTTTATATTTGTCTGATAAATATAATCAAGTTCAATTATATACTTCAGCTTCTTAGCTCTCAAGTTAATCTTTGGCCCTTTATTTCCAAGGCTGTCGAGGATCGATCACAGCATAAGAATCGAGCGAGTGCTTTAGCTCGCCTACGCGCTCAATTGGCCCTAAAAGGTGGCTGGATTGTACATGCTTGTTTGTTTTTTAATTTCATTTTCCGTAAGGTTGGTTCTCCTGATGAATGATATATGCCATGCGTTGTTGTATTGAGCTCAGTCAGGAACCCTGTGAATCTTGAAGATTATTCGCCTCCGCCAGAGCTTCTCCAAATTCTCCCTCTGAAGTCCACTATCAGGCCACCGGGATGTGGCCCTCAAATTGGTCCTAACAATTCTAAATTTCTTCCGGTTTCTCTCTATTCTCTTTCTGTCTATATTTCTGTGTACATATGGGTGTGTGTTTATAATTTGATTTTCTTGATATAAGAGAAGGATATGAAGGTGATAACCCAAATTACCTGTTTGGCAGGGCATGCAATCTTTATTGGATTTAATTTACACACTTGATGGTTCTATATCAGACACAGCTAAGTATATAGGGTATGTTTGCTATTCATTCATGTGTTGGCCTTTGTTTCTTATTACTTTTATTTCCACCATAACTAATGTTTGTGGTTGATAGGAAGATGAGTGGAAGGGAGTTCATTGCGAGGTTTATGATTTTTATAGGAATGAACAAGAATGATAATTTTATCAAGGGCATGAGGGAAAGGAGTTTAGACCTCCGGAAGGTGTTGGAGGATATTTTTCTTACGAAGTGTCTTGTTGGAGGCAAAGTCTTGCCTTAGGATTTGATGTAATAGCCCAAGTTCCCGATAGCAGATATTGTTCTCTTTGGGCTTTCTCTTTTAGACTTCCCCTCAAGGTTTTTAAAACGCGTCTTCTAGGGAGAGATTTCCACACCCTTGAAAGGGTGTTTCGTTCTCCTCGCCTACTAAGGAAGTGGACCAAATTTGGTTTTTGAGAGAGCTTTTGAGTTTGATTACTGGTTCTGATGGTTGTTCATCATTTTCTATTGACATACTTCGGATTATATTAAAACTAATTGAGAGTTATTTGTGAGTTTGACAAGGTAGATGTCAACTTGACCAACGATGAAATTATATTCATTTCATACCCAAGGGACTTAACTTATGTAGCAACTGTAGAACAATTAATCCTTATTTTATGGGAATGTCAGCTTGTTTATGTATTGGATATTTTCTCATTGACATTCCATGAGCGAATAAATCACATAATAGTTACACAAATTTGGCACTATTTTTAGCTGTCAACATAGATGATATTAAAAGATGATCCGTAGTTAAGATATAAACCTGGTTTCCACTATTTCAAAAAGAGATAAACGTGTGACAATATTAACATTAATAGCAAAGTAATAGATATGTACGAGACATTAAGCATAAGTAGTCCGATTAATTGATGTAGGTGGAACAGTTGAATTACAATTTAGATAAATAGTTCAAAGATAAATCTTATTTTTCCCGTTTCTAATATGTTAATGATATAGATTAGCTGCACGCTAATAGTTTTATTAATTTTGAATATTTTAGGTTAACCACTGGTGCTGTATCAAGGTTAATCCTATCCGACGATTCTCTTAGAATGGCTGTAAATGATATCAGGATATCCAAGGTAACACCATCCTATTTTTGAGAAACTATGTTGCATCTCTGCATAATTTTTAATTTCCTTTTATGAAAGTCGGTTTCTTATCGAAAACATTATTTCTTTACTAAATTGTGCTTGAGAAGTCAAATTCTTGGAATATTTAGTGTGTTCATGTTCCTTCCAATTTATCGGATGTTCCCGAAGGGACAATCTGTTTTCATGTTTTGAAATGTTAACGGTAAATGTCAGCTTGTTGAGAGAGCCAGCTTGGTACTCTAATTTTAATTTGTAAGCATCATAATACATAGCTAATTAATTATGTGGCATCCACTTCAAAACTCAATATAGAAGTGGTAACTTATTTTGCTTCTACAAGTCCTGCACCTCTGGTTCTAACCCTACATGCCAGACTAGAGAAAGGTGGTGGTTGTCCTTTGCGATACTTTTGGCTACTTGACTCAAATTAAATGTCTGCTGCCTGCAAAGGCCATGTTTGTTTTATTAGTTAAAAGAGTTGCAGGGAGGTTCTAAGATTTGTCGCATGACATTGGAAGAATAAGTAGTATTCTTATTCAAAACTTGTACCCATTTCCCAAACAATTTTGCAGCCCTAGATTTTGAGGATTGGCTTCTTTTTGGTGCATCTATAGTAGTATTGCCAAAAATATTTTTAGTATTAGGAGAGTAATATTATAATCATGTTGGTTTGCATCATATCTGAGAAGAAACTTCATTTTGAATAAAGTTAACTTCTCTTTGGGACTGAGTATAGGCAAATTGATATGGCAAATAAATCTTTGGAAGATATGGTAGAAGATCGACTACCAGTCTTATTCGATGGATTTGAAGAGGAGTTCGGGGAAAAGTTTGAATTTGAGAAAACAAGCAGACATACGGTCTACAGGTGTTATTGTTCTATTAGTATAGTTATATTTTCCGTAAATATATTAGTTGTCTTGTCCTTTTTTGTCTTTTTACTTTCTCCGACTTAGGTTAACCTCGTATATAAATCTCTTTAGTGAATGGAA